TATACGTGACGACTGTTAATCTTCATGGGACATATTATTATATAAGTACTTAATTAATGAATATATCAACCGAATTCACTTTATTTAATCGCCATAAAATTCAGGAGTTTGATCAATTCTCAACACCACTCGCAGTTGATCGACATGTGACCGATTGTGATTGTATGCTTTGCTTTCTCTCCTAGATTCAGATAGGTCGGCGGAACCCGCAGAGGTATTACCGAGACCAAACTTCGGGCTAGTCTCCTTACTTTCATGCACTAACAGTCAATAGTCAATGTATGATCGTCTCATCCTCGCGTAACTATGTGATGCAACGGCGAGAGGACCAGTTGGGGTGGCGATATCTGATCATCTCAGTATCACTAGCTTCCATCTTGCGCATGAATTGAGATTGGCTTCACCTTTTTTCTCTTTCTAAATGGGCTCTAGTTCTCAGGAATATTCATTGATGTTTAGCGGTAGTCCTTGGGCAAAGAAAATGAAATCTTCCGACAGTCCTAAGCATACATTCTCTTGTGTCCTTCCCGGCACCACAACCTTACCATAATTACTATCAACTAGATATAACGGGCTGGTACTTAGGTACACGAGGATCAAAGTTACATCTATCATTTTGAAGACAATGATAGTGTGATTACACCATTCGGATCAAACTTCTTTGCGGGGGCGGGAACAAGCCTCGTAGATAAGACTCGAGTTGGAAATTCCCTATTGTACCTCACGTATGAGAAGGTTTGAGTACAAAGTTAAAAAAAAAAAAAAAAGAGCAGCATTGAAGACGCCAGATCCGAGATTTAAGCACAATGAATACTGTTGTACTCACATGTTCATAAATCAATGTCCGGCACCGTTCCCACCATCCCGTCTCAGCAATAACGTATATTATTTACCTACTTAAAGTCGATCTTCCGCGTCTCGAATCAAACTTCAACCGGGTATTTATCTATTCATAACCGGTATAAGGTACGGTGGGCTGAGGTCATCAATTTAAGGGCCGAGATAGGTATGACAATTTTGCGCTGCTGAAGGCTTCAATATCCTGGCCCCATGGTAAAATAAGATGGGAGTGGCGGTCTCTGTAAAGGCAGATAAAAATTCATGTCAAGTCAATCTACCTGATAGAGGCGCATGGCACGATAATGAACCGGCTCTCTCAAAAGAGGAAGCCATGGACACATTTGCACCAGCTAGAACATTGAAAAACACAAAGAGAATCTATCTTAATTGAATACTAAACAGACAGTATCACCGAATAATCAAACTGACTTTAAAACGGCTCTCCAGGATAAACAGATGTTCTGTGTTTTCTCTCCTGTTGCTGACGGCTTGGACTATCAAGAGTAATTGGAAGAGTCAAAGCATGACAATTCACAATTTTTTATCGACATCTGAAGAATAACATAGATATGATAACTATCTTGCGCAAAAACATATGAATTTAAACGATTTAATTCTCGCGATGCTTCCATTTAGATCGAAGTTCCGATAGCTAGTTGTGTGTCAAAGGCATACTGAGTCGAGTAGGCGGTACCTACCACAATTTCCCCCCTCATCTTGACTAACAGTATGGCTGTTACAAACAAATCATGCATCGAGTTTCTTCACCTGTTAACTAGTCAGGGCGGAATACTTTCCAAAGCTCCCATAGGTAAATATCTAGCGATGAGCCACAGTTCCTTACATGCTAGGAATGTAGATGTTTTCCCTTTCTCCTCCTTTCACTTCTGAGCCTTATCGATCTGATAATCTTTCTTTTCATCTAACAAATTAATCTTGAGATATCTGTAAACTCATGAAGCATTGAGTATTAATAGCTTCGAGCAGCCACTACATATGTCTGAAGATTACCCGCTTCACATCTTAATAAGACTGTCTCTCCATCCAAGACCACAGTTCGATGTCTCTACACTGTATTTCACAGATCCAAAACCAACATGCTAGGGCTCACTGCTTGATTCTACAGGATGTATTGACATTGAAGGCGAACTTTTATCGAGGCAAGAAAAAAATCCCACCAGTAATTGAAGAAATTTCCAGATTCTATTGGCCTTAGTCAGGGCAACATCGGGAGCAAGAATCATTCTTAGTTGAGAAAGCGGCATATTGCACTGTATAAACCTTGCTATCGGTCAGTCTCAGGATCTACAGTACTACTAAAAAGTTCTAGTCGGTGGAAAAGGGTTTTGTCTTATTTTTATTAAGCTTCTAGGTGTGCAAGATACCCTACGATAACACCTTTGCTTGACCTCCTCGTTTGTGACTGAGGCAGTTGTTCGCAATGTCCAATGAATTTGCACTCAATACCGTAAACAGTTTCCTTGCTCTTGATACTTGGAATGATGTGCGGTTAAGTTCCAAATACAGGCGTCTTCTAGATACTGGCCACAAATGGCCTGGTATCGAGATTGGTATAATAAAGAGGTAGGAAACTCAATGCTACCCAGTGATGCAGTCAGTTTACAAAACGTAAATATCCCTATGAATAGCCGACTTTAAACACTCATTAATGATTTGCCCGAAAGACCCGAGACGATAAGCCCTAGCATGGGTGAAGTCGGAATGTTCGGGTAAGGAAAAGTTCTCTTTCTATTGCCTGGAAACGGGCCATGGCTGCTCATTATGTAAATGATCGCCCCAGACCAATCAACTCTCCAATGTCTCTCCACACTTCTTGATGTGGAGGAAGGCGGGGAGCAACCAAGCAAAGCCAAGGACGGGAGCACGAGAATGTCCTTGGCGGTGAAGCATGACAGTGGAGAGAAGATGAATGACACTTAAGACGCCAAACAGCAGATAAGTTTAACTTGACATTCATCAAACTAGCCAAGCTGGGCCTTTTTAAGAGGAAATGAGATTCAAGGCTGTTGGATCATAAGCCTCGATATTCTGCTAGTCGAAATCGGGCATTTCACAGCGACAGAGCTACAAGATTTCCACACGGCCTAACCGTAACTGATTTATTCATCCCGGCCCGGTTGCGCCAACTAAGAATATGCTTAGGCTATCGGCAATCCGGCAACTAGAAGCTGTTCTCTAACTCCAATACCGGCAGGAATGCATGCTCGCCGGCTTCCCCAATCCCATTCGCCATACTTCACTAACACGAGAAGGGAAGGTTTCCTACATTAACCTCAATTTATGTGTCAAGTAATCCATTTTGTCCCTTCGGGATTGAAAGCGAGACAGGATGATACAAGTCGGGTTCCGTGTGGATCGAGCCAGGTCCCGACTCATCAGCCATGTCGGTAGATGCTTCTAAGAAAATTTCATAATGTCCATAAAAGGAGGGACCATTCCTCATTGTTAACTCTTACCGTTGGCTTACATCAGACTCCCTCTGAAATATTGACATCCAATTGACCCCGATCTATAAGAGCCGTCCCCTAAACGTTACTACAGCACACGATGTCCAAACTCAGGAGCGATTCCGATGAGGAGGCTCAAGTATTTGAGACCGCCATCATTAATAAGTCTCCCCGATGGCAAGATCATCTGGCCGATTCGGTACGCAATTCCCACGGTATCTCGTGTTTCCCAATACTCGTACTAATATACTCCGTCCTTTCAAGTCTCCATTCGTCATGGGTGCTGTTGCCACGACACTTTTGACAATCTCATTCGGCATGCTAAATTTCCGAGACGTTACACTTCAAGCACCCGTCTTCGTTGCCGACTTGTGCTTCGCTGCTGGTGCTGGATTGATCATCTCCGCTCAATGGGAGATGCTCAAGGGGAACACTTTCACCTACACTGTTCTTATGGCTTTTGGTACGAATGCTCGTGAATTTTGGCAAGAATGTCAAAGCGGAAATTATTAATACCATAATCCCTATAGGCTTCTTCTACGCTGGTTACGGATACGTCACCATCCCCTCCACTGGGATCGCGGACTTCTATGGAGGATTTTCTACCCCATCTTTTAACAACGCCCTCGGAGCATACGTCTTAGTCTGGGCTTGCTTTAACCTCTTCTTCCTCATCTGTACAACAAGAATGTACGTTCTCTAACTCCAGAACCATCTTATCCCCTTTAACCCCCCTCATATACTAACAAGGCACCTAGGAACATCACTTATGTTGGAGTATTTTCCTTCGTGGAGCTCTGCCTGATATTCGACGCCGCTTCTTACTTTGCCTCCGCTGAGGGCAAGGCAGAGTTAGGCGTCAATTTTATGAAAGCCTCGGGTGCATTTGCTTTCGCAGCATCCATTTTGTGTTATTACACTGTATTGCACTACCTATGCGAGGATGCTCTCCCCTTCCGCGTTCCTCTGGGAGATTTGACTAAATACAAGTACGCACACAAGAGAACGGCATAGAGTAACAGCTTTGCATTAGCGTACCGGAATCAGATAAAAGGGATCAAAAAAGTAACGTTTTATTATCGAAGCCACATCCATGACATAGAGACTATAATTCTCTTGCTGTTTCTAGATACTCAAACTACATTATAATAATTTCGATGGCCTCGCAGACTCAAATTTAGTTATGGCCAACCGTGATGATGCGAGCAATGATCCTATTGACCCCAGCAACTACACCCAGGACATTGCCTACATTTAGACACTCCTGATCCTTCGCTTGGCAAGAAGAGACATTGGGCACCCGAACGCACAAGGTCGAGATTATGAGCACCTGTTATCGCCGAGAAAATAAACGGAACCGTGAAAGATCCAGGGTTTACGGTGATGACCGCGTGAATGGGAGCATTCTTCTCCACTCTGCGGATTGGCAGCCTACATGTAACGTAATGCTGGGCAGGGCAAGGGATTTATTGTTACCAGATGTAACACGGGTCAGATTGGGTGGCATCAACCAACGCTATTAAAGGCACGTCTTTGCCCGGGCCTGGGAGAGATATAATACACAACTCACTCAATCACAACCAAGGAACTGATTTTGTAAGTCAGTGACTTACAATTGCGTTTTCCTCATCTCAGAACAGACCCCCAAGATCTTCGCCAGTACCTCACCATCAGCCACCACTCTCATCAATAATGGAGCAAATACTCGGCTCCAGCTCCAACTCTTACCCAGGCTTGGGCAAGATTCTGAGACATAGGGCGGATCCCTGGAATGTGGAGGAATTCTATCCTTTAGGCATCCATCCCAACTACGGTGGTTCCACATCGGAGATACTCTTTGTTCGGGAGGTCGCCATGATGATCGTCATGGATCGCCTATCCGACAAGCCTGACTTCCACCGCAAGGTCTTTGACGATGCAATTGTCGCCAAGTGGATTGACGAGGCGCTCGCGATACCCGATGATTCCTTTTGGGATGAAATCGTTCTAGGCAACGATGGCCCAAACGGCCAAAAGGTTAAGAGACTCAAGAATATCCTAGACAAAGACTGTCTCGAATACGTGGGTGAAGACCGCCAGCCCCTCTTACTTCGTTTTTCTGATCGCTCACATCTCGATAGTGCATCCAGGAATTACGTGCCAAGGCCAAGTACTTCGAGAAGACGGGGCTGGTTCCAACCTTGGACGCGTCTGCAGCAGTCTGCAAATCCGACACGCTGATTGATGAGGCGCTTCGAGACGAGTTGCGGGCCGCGTTTGTGAAGCTTCAGGCGGAGCAAGAGTCTGCTCCAGACTGGCATCCCCGCACGGACGACAAAGTGCAGGATCTGGTTCATCCTTCGCTTTACCCGCTGGTATACGGAACCACCCGGGTGTTTGCCGACGAGGTTGTGGGTGTGGATGATGCGATCGACAAATGGGCCGGGAAAGGCAATGTCATTCCTGAGCCCATAGGCCCTGAACAGGTTATTGACGGGTTTGACGGGTACGGGGCGTCTCTTATTGACCTTACCTTCTGGTCTGAGAAGTATCAGTGGCTTCCTGCCAATGTCAAATTCCAACCAGACGGAAGCGTCAAGTTTACCAGCTACATCAACAATCTCCACCCGCTCAAGCACAGAGAGATTTACGGCACGATTGAGAAGCTTATTGAAAAGGCCATCCCAGCTTGGGATACCTGTGTTCCCTCTTTTCGTGATTGGAACGGCGAAGTCGGTGGAAGGCCTTCCCGTTTCCCATTTCCAGATGACCCTGAGTAAGTTCAAACTCGAGAAGCGCCAGGGCGAGGAGAATCAGTTCACAGCTAACGACGGTAATGATCAGTGATCATAATGAAGATAACTGGGCCCCGAAGCTCGATGAGGTAGAAACGCCAAGGCATTCGAGAGCACCATCAGAAGCTGAAGTACCAGGCGATGAAAGTGATGCTGAGGAAGGATTAGACGAAGACGGCCAGTATGAACACTGGGATTACCCTTACAGTGGAACCCCTAAGGAGGTCAAATGGAAAATGATTCGGCAGCCGGTCCAACCTCAGCCCCTTAAGTTTGGAGCTTGGAAATATGGACCCAGCCAGGGCGAGTCTCTCAGGGAAAGATTTGATGGGCTTCAGATCATTGTAAAAATGGCTTCCATCGAGTTAACACCTGAGAAACCCGAGTTTCCAGTCGGTGGTTGGCATGTGGAGGGCCAAATGAACGAGCACATTGTTGGCACAGCACTCTATTACCTGGACTCGGAAAATATCACCCCTAGTCATCTACAGTTTCGGATGCATACAACGTACGAAATCGAGTACAAATTCCACGTTGGTCAGGATGGCTACAAGTGGATGGAACGTGTCTATGGTACTCAACTTGGGGTGGGCCAGGATGCTCCGTGCCTGCAGAACTATGGGAGCGTGGAGACAAAGGAAGGCAGACTGCTCGCTTTCCCCAACGTCTTTCACCATAGGGTCTCCCCCTTTGAGCTGAAGGACAAGACAAAGCCGGGCCATCGACGATTCATCGCGTTGTGGCTCGTAGATCCATTGACTCGCATCATCAGCACAGCCAATGTCCCCCCGCAGCAGCAGGATTGGTGGATGGATCGAGCATTCATGAACCTAAAAGCAGCAGAGGCTAACAAGGTCGCTAGCCCTATTACCCAAACGATTCTAGACAAAGCTCCCTCGGCCGATAGCTCTGGTCTCAAGGCAGCTGCAGAGGGAGACACGCATGCCCTGCCTGTAGAGCTGATGGATATGCTTGCAGATGAGTTCGACGGAGCACTTCCAATGAGTCTTGAGGACGCAAAAGAGCATCGGTTGAAGTTGATGGATATTAGAACTCGTTTCCAAGGGGACGCGGAGGATCGGTGGGAAGGTCAAACCTACAGCTTTTGTGAACACTAAGTATTCCTAGCCTCGTATGCATTCCATGTATTTTATTTCAGCTATTCAAGTCTTGATTGTCAGCAGTGAGTGCCGCTTTCAAACACTGAACCGACAGTTGTTTATCCATATCTACGTCCGCCCAGATTCGTGGCTTCTCTTCTGAGGCTAAGGACTGCTTAGTTCAGATATTAAGGAAACCAACGGATGCAATTCTGCTCTCACATTGTACGTCCTTAACATACCTTGTAAGCATTTTCTTTATTGGAGGAGACCTTGACTATTTCCAAGCCGAGCAATTTAAACCCAAAGGATACCATAATTCATAATATGGGGACATGAAACTGGTATTTCATATCGTATGAAAGTAATCACTATAATTAGTTTAGCTACTCTCCCTATTACCTGTACATTAACAACATCAACAAGTCACAGCTAATCTTGTACACGCAATATGCTCCCCTCAATGAAAATCTGTCGTCTGTCTACAGGCATGTATGAGAGACAAGAGGCCTCGGCTCTCCACTCCTTGATATGTTAGGGAGGATTTCCTGGTTGGCTCTGGCGAGAGAGGTTCGGTATTTGCCATCGTACACTACAGGCAGAAGAGAGGGTTTAAGCGAGCACGTGCATTCCGAAAATGAAAACTAGTAACGAAATATGGTGAACAATTGTTTGCCCGACTCTTCTCACCTTAATGGCTTCTTCGTAGGTCATTGGTGCCGAGATGTCAAAGGGATCTTAAGGTGCGCAAGATCCTGGCTCGCATCATTGTCAGCTAATTTCGTCTGACATGCAGAGGCGAATTCTGTGCCTCAATTACATTCGGCCTCCCCATTTGGACCACTCCGAGCCTAGATACCCGGATATTTTACCGCCAAATAGATACTGGCTTAACTCGAAATTAATTTATTTATTTTCCCTCACTTTTTAAAATTGATCTGGAGCATAGCTGGTGACCTTTCTTTCTTGATTGCCATCCAAAGATCGAAATGGGCCGCGCAATTGATCTTGAAAGGTGGCATCTGAAACATGGGCTTACTGGGGCTCACAGCCCAGCCCCTCATCCTTCTTGACCCTTAATAATTACATAAGATCTCTCTTGCCTTGGAAATATGCGAGCATGACGAAAAATTGCGAATGCATATTAAAAGAGGGGAGCTATTTGTTGGACCTATACGCTGGGCCGACATCGAAAATGAGATGAATGACAGACCATGCAGGGCAACAGAGTCGTCATCTGCATCTATTGCATACTCTTTACCCAGATTGTTCAGCACAGTTGTTATCTCGATTACACTACGTGAATCTTCACTTTCTCCCTCTCCCCGTAGGGCAGCACTACTACCATGTTCAAGTGTTTGATGTGCGCCAGGAACGATCGGTTGGTGCCGATGCTCAAGAAGATGGGACGGATGCCTCCTCGGTCACTTCGGTACGCGACCTGCCTATTTGACATCCTGAATAGGCTGATGGGCTGAGGGAAAAAACCCATCCGGTCCATATGGGCAAGGATCGGCCTGCCAAGATTTGATGACTTCCCAGCTAGTTCAGACTTGAAACAACAAGGCCGCTGCACAGAATCCCAATGAACATGGGATCTTACTGCATGTGGCGTTGGGTGTTGGTCTCCTGCCTATCGAGTGAACCAAATAAAGAGGCCATGGCCTCCTCTCTGCTCTTGAGGGAATCGCCAACTTCCTCGTCAAGTCTTGTCATTCCTTTCCTTGGGTTTCTTATCCCATAGCCATTCTTTCAAAACACACTCATTTCAAGCAAACTCACAGTCCCGGCGACAGTTAACGTACTTTCCACCACCAAGATGCAAGTCACCAATCTTCTCTTCTCCCTCTTGGTCGCCGGAGCTGCGGCCAAGAAGTGCACTCGCAAGACCACCAGCGTTTTTGCCACCACCTCGAGCGCTATCGAGACCTCCACTGCTGTGCAGACTCCCTCTTCTGTTCAGACTCCCTCTTCTGTGCAGACCTCCTCTGTTGAGACTCCTACTTCCGTGCAGACCCCCACTGTCGTGATTCCTACGACTATCGTCATTTCTACTACTTCTCAACCCTCTACCACTGCCGTGGAAACCCCAAGCACCACCTTGGCCCCATCCTCCACCTTCTCTACTTCCACCTGGGAAGACGGTACCCCCCAGAGCACTCTTCTGAGTAGAGTCTCATCTGCGGCTTCATCCGAAACTTTACCCGCCACCGTCGTCATCGTTGCTTCCGCGTCCGAGGTTGCCACTACCACCTCTGAGGCTGCCGCCACTACTACCACCACTACCACCACCACCGCCGACACCAAGTCTTCCACTTCCAACGATAACCTCACTGAGGACCAGACCAACGCTCTCAATGCCATCAACGCCGCCCGTGCTGATGTCGGTACCTCCGCTCTGACCTGGGATGAGGAGCTTGTCGCTTCTGCCCAGCAGTGGGCTAACTACCTCACCACCCTTGGCAAGCTAGAGCACTCAGGTTCCGGCGAGAACCTATTCTGGGCCAGCGGAAGCAGCACTCCTCTTGTTGATGCCATCAACTCGTGGAACAGCGAAAAGAGCAACTACAAGGGTGGCTCTGTCTCCAAGGACAATGTTGCCTCCATCGGTCACTACAGTATGTTCTCCTACACATCTCCATTTCGCATTCATCATCCAGCCTGTGTCTAATCGTATATCTCAATAGCCCAAAACGTTTGGAAGTCGACTACCAAGTTTGGTATCGCCAGCGCAACTGACTCCAAGGGCGGAATCTACGTGGTCGCTCACTACGACCCTGTGGGCAACTTGTACGTATAATATTCCATTGATGTTTGGTACATTATAAATACTAACGGTGTTCGTTAGCCTTGGACAAGCCCCTTACTAAAAGGCTAATGAAAGAGATGATTAATGGGCGCGAGCTCATTTAATGGTGCTATTTTCTAAGAGTGAACGACTGTCCAGATATTAGCATTCTTGTACATAATTAAATTCAGATGAAGATGAACACACATCGCCTTCGGGGGGTGCAGCCGAGTCAGGAGACAGCCTCTGTTTGACAGGCAATACGAAATCAAGCCGGCCATGCAAAGAACAATTGATTTCAAGGCTTGGTCTCAATCTTCCCTACGTTTGTTCCAATCGGTGACGGCTTGGTTGTACTTGCGCTTAGCAAAATTACAGGTAACAAACGTTGCACATCCTCCCCAACGGCTAGTCAGGTATGCCCTTCTCGAAGAGCTGGCCAGGCTTACCGACATGATTTAAGACCAGGTATAACAGCGATATAATCGACGAATGCATACGGGATTTTTTTTTATTGGGGAACGTCATGACTGGTATGACTGAGCTATCAAGCTAACTATGCTACACCCGCTTAGACGAGTCGCAGGGATCCGTTGATGTTACCAATCCTCTCATCCAAGTTAATCTCGGCCCTCTCCCAGTCACCATTGTCCCGGCGCAACTCAGCCTCGAGCCTGCGGCCATGATCACGAAGGCGAGCATCGCGCGCAGACCCGCTGAAGTTGCCGCCGCGGCTGTGGTGGCCACCACCACCCCCAGGGATCTGGATCGTCTGGCCAGGGTGGATGAGGTCAGGGTTGCTAAGGCCATTGTGGCGGGCAATCTCCTCCCACGACACGCTGTAGTTGGACGCAATGCTGCGCAGGGTGTCGCCGGGCCGGACAGTCCAGCTGCCGCCGCCGTGGCCGTGGTCGTGGCCTCCGCCGCCGCTGACCCAGCGGAACCGGCCGTTGTCGTTCTCCAGGACGTCGTCCAGGTTGAGGGAGCTGTCCCGCAGCGATCCGTCACCCCGGCACCGGGCTTTGAGGATGTGTCCATGCTCGAGGTAGATGTCCTCTGACGACGCGGAGAAGTTGCCGCCGCCGCCGTGGTGGTGGCCACGGTCGCGGCTCCTGGAGCGGCTTCTGGAGCGGCTGTGACGACGACCTCCGTGGTGTCCGTGGTGGTCGTCGTCTCGTCGCCGCTTCTCCTCCTCCTCTCTGCGCTTCTCCTCTTCCTTCCTCCGCTTCTCCTCCTCCTTCTTCTCGTCGCGGTCGTCCTTCCAGTCAGACACGCCGTCCTGCAGCTTGTGTCCGGCAAAGGCACCGGCGAGGGCACCGACGACAGCACTGGTCTTGCTATGGCCAGTTGCCTTGCCGCCGAGCTTGGCGCCGCCAAAGGCTCCCGCAGCTCCGCCGGCGAGAGCACCTAGGACGCCTCGCTCGCCGTCGGGTCCGTCCTCGTTGGAACCGGAACCACCGTAGTTATTCTGTCGGTCGTCTCGTCGGTCGTCACGCTTCTCGTTGCCCCAGCCCTCGCTCGAGGAAGGGTGCGGCTGGTAGTCTGGTCTGTTGTCCTGGCCGTAGCCTTGGCCACCCTGGCCACCGTATGGCGGGGGACAGTTCTGGTTACCACCTGAGCTGTAGTCTGGAGGACCCCCTTGGTGACCGCCGTAGCCGCCCTGGGGTTGGCCGTATTGTTGCTGCTGGCCGCCGTATTGGGGAGGGCCGCCGGGACCGTCGTTGCGGCCGCTGTTGTAGTAGCTGCCGGCCTCGCCCTGCGGCTGGTAGCCTCCGCCCTGGTAGTTGTTGTTGCTATTATTATAGTTGGTCATGATGGCGTTGTTTTGCTTGCTGTACGATGGGAAAAAAAGATGCTAGGTGACTTTGAAGGAGATGTACGATGGATGCAGACTTGGTGGAAAGATGAGGGGCCAAGTACGAAGCTTGGGCGAGCAAGAGGGGTAGCACACGGTATGTATACCGACTTTATTAATAGGTGAGACGAGCATTCCGTGGAAATTGTAAGTTTGGTACCCAATTCCACCTCAGCATGACGCGTCCAGTGGCTGATCCAGTAACTTGTGTCACGTCTTTGCTGTAAGGGTAGCTCAATCACCAATCAAGCTTACTGGGGAGCTCTTGGCTCGTAACAGAGGGTCCAATGAGGAGCGTCTTGGCGTTCATAGCTTTGGGGCCACGTCCTCATGTGCCCAAGCATGGCATTGTATAACCCATTGCTCGGATCTACGGCATGCTCATCAGGGTCCTCCGTGGCACCATTTATCTTGGCATTCCTGCTTAACCTTATAATTCCCAAACTTTAAGGCCGCCAAAGGGATGTGTGTGCTTACGAGGGGGACTGAATCACAGCTTGGCTCCAAAAGCTGAAACAACAATACGAGTGTGGCGCGGCTAAGTCAGCCTCAATCACCAGCCCCTGGCACTTGACGTCAGCCACTACATACCAGCCACAGTCAGCTGTACTGGTGGCTGTCCTACCTACCCTATATCACATGTCCAGGAATTTTATCCATGGCTCGATGAACCGCAAAGTTGTTCAGCTAATGGTCCCAGTATCTAGCCGTTGAAATTCAATATTCCACCATTGTGGCTCCTTGGTTAAAAAATAAATTTTACATCGCGTTACAATGAAAACCCTCACACAGGACTGTTGACATTGATGGACAGTTTGTCCCCTCCTTCACCTGGAACACTGACTACCCTATAGATGAATGAAAGAGCAACATGCCAGCTACGCTAGAATTTAGGCCATGAGGATAATGAGTCTGGCTTGTACATACTACAATAATAGTATAATACGTAGGTGATCAATTAAATTCAAATTTATTTAGAGTCAAGCCCAGAACTGCCTGAATGCGGGGATAATGCTGCACAATAGCAATTGAACCGTGAAAAATACCATACGCTAATGTCATACGCCTACGAAAAAACATACTCATAGGTATTCGACAATCTCTTCAAGCAATTCCAGTCAATGACAACTAAAGAAACCAGCACAATCACGACGGCCAACATGCGCCCTCGCTAAAACATCGGGCGTCGGACCGACATGGACCCGAGCCTCGGTCTAGCTGGAGGATGATGCTGCGTGCGACATTCTTCGGAGAAATAAAGCTGTCACTCGAGTGACGATGATTGAACGTCCCTGATGTGGTCTAGCGATATGAAGCTCGCCAAGGGACCGAATTCCTTCAGATACATTCGGTGACCATACCCTGGCAGACAATCAGTAAGGCGCAAAAGGCAGCCCTGTGCGATTCTGTCAATCCTTCCTTTGCTTTCTTTTTCTTCATCTCATATTTTCTTTTTTTACTCTTTTTTCGCCTCCCGACTGAGACAGTAAGACGGGCAGCACGCAACAATGTCTGATGCAGATCACCCCTTTTCTCAGCGGGATTGTGACGGTCTGCCGATGTTCTCGTCGCGCCTTGCTCAACAGGTACAGGCGCGACATGCAAGCGATTGCAGATTGCTAGATGGTAGATCCCCATTTACTCGGGTGCAGGAGCGAGGCGCTGTATTCAAATTTCTTTGGGGCGCGGACGCGGGTGTTGCTCCTGATAGGGTGTGCCCGCGGTGATCACTGTCATTCTTGGCATGGTTTGCCCTTGGCGGGGCTGGTTGATGAGTTCGACGCGGATGGAGGCGCTATGTTTAGTTTCTTGGGAACGGTCCCGTCCACTCGGATTCGGTTTTCTGTGATTTGACCGGTAGGGAAGCGAAAGATCGATGGACGGCCGCGAGATTGTGACCGATCATGCCCGTGAGCTAGCACATGGTAGTCATTGGGGGTCAATGGGTAAGGGTAAGCTGGTCGATGGGCATATCACCTGGATGTGCCTTTTCGTAGGCTATCTTGTGTAGCTACATTTCAGCCTTTGGGGTCGTTCAGGGGTAAAGGGGGGCTGAGAGTGGTGGTGTGGGACTGCTGCAAGGTGAAATAACAAAGAGGCGTCCAGTAGCGCAAGCTGAGGAGAAAGGAGATTGGATACGCGGTCGAGGCCGTCGCTTTTCAGAAAAAGAAAGCGTTCAACAGAGTAGTGACGGACAGTGACCTAGCGTAGGGGACTAATAATGGCATCTAATCTCGATTGGGGGCTCTGATCACATAACCCGAAGATCCCACTGCCGATCTGAGCTCTGAAACCCTGCCATAGCAGTAGCTTGCAGCTGCAGTGTGATGGACCCCACGCCTGTGCCCTCGAGGTGACCGTAATCGCTCCCACGAGAGCTCATGTCACAGTTGGTTCCCCACGGACAAGGGGCGGCGAGCTGGATGCTAGCTCGCGTAGTGCAAATTAGCTGTTCTGCATTCCCAGGAACGATGCGATGTGATGTCCCGATGGATGTGCATGTGTGGAGCGAGGGAGCACCCGAGCAGAGCAGAGGAGGAGAGCTCAACTTAGCTCGTCGCCATCCGTCGTCACCCGTCGAAAATCCTTCCCCTCTCTCTTCCTCTCCCATTGTTCACACGCCCTGTTATCCTGCTTGTTTGCCTATACGCTCTTTCTGGTTGAACTTGATCTGTTTTCGTGGTTTGTGGTATATCGTAGTCGTTCCTCCGTTCGAGTTCGTCGCTCCCTTGATTACAGCTCGATCCTTCTGGCACCGACACAAGACGACTCCCAGCCATCCACTCTGCTGGCCAGCCTCCCGGTTCATACACTGAGTGTTGTGCTAGCCTTGAACGAAGGATCATTGGAGATAAATCATACGATTGGGCTGACGCGATTGTTCAAAGGGAGCTTGGAACCTCCGATTGTTCTTGGTATTGTACTCGGATCAAACCTGGTGTGGCTGGTCACACAGGCTGTAAGTCAAAGCAGATCTTGAACCACCTGGAACGTTTCCGCCGCCAACCGTCCCTGTCTTACTGACCCCGATACGCGCAGAGCTCAGAGACAGCCTACATGGATGCGCTGATGCGGTCGTCAGAGACATCGCTGCACCACTCATGACGTCTACACAACCCCGGCTGCGGAGCCTGTCACTCGGCGAGAATGGCACAAACGGGCCTCCGCAGCCGGCTCGATTCTACTTCGAAGCACCCCAGAGAGCCGCGAGCAGCAGGGCTAAGCGATCGACGGTACCTCGAAGAACATCTACCCCGGCCGGCCTCAACCACCACGCCCTCGGGAAGGACGTGGACCAGGACCTCGAGTCGGCCTTTCGCGACATCGCGCGTGAACAAGTCGATCGGGAGAGTCTGAGGGAGCTCGCCCAGTTTCTGCGCAACACCGGCCCTCCCGCGGCTCCCAATACCCCCTTGGTGCAGGATTGTTTTGGTCGCAATGGGCCGGGGGAGAACCGAAGATGGTCGATACGGTCTTTGAGGGCAGGTAACAGAGGGAGCAAGATGCAGCAGCGTCCTGTCTCACTCAATCTGGGAGACAGGGCCACGAGGCGGACAACGGCGGCTGGTCATTCGTACTTTGCGATATCTGTTCCCGCACCGCCCGCGGCGCCCACTGTCTCGGATCGACGAGCATCCCTTCAGTCTCGCCTGTCAGCCATCCACAGGTCGCACCTTGTCTCGCGCTTGAGCGCCATCGATACCGAGTCCCTGGCCCCCAGGTCGTCGCACGATCTCCACAGCCCCAAGAGCCATACGAGCTCCAACACGCAGAGATTTCTCGACCGAAACACGACCAAGGCAGGCGACGTCGCAGCGGTTGTATCAAGGCACCCGGACCAGAAAGACCCCAACTCTTTTCGGTTATCAATCAAGGTCACCACTGCGGACCGCGGCGTCAAGTCTTTTATGAGGCTTGTGGACGAATGGCTTGAGATCCAGCATGGCGAGGCCGTGTCCCCGAACAGCAAACCTGCTTCAGTGAATGGCTCGAACCACCAGGCGGAAGACTCAGGCGTCGTCGTTCTCAGCGCTCTCGGCCCAAGCAGCCCTCCTGCTCCCAAGATTGAAGTCCGGCCCTCGCCCTCCCCCACGGAAGAAAGGCAAGCGCCTCCTCTCGAGCTTCCGACCACACCGCCAATCAATGCGAAGAAAATGAGCTTCCCAGATGCTGGAAGCGTTATCCACGGTGGCCCCAAGGGAACTGATGCGTCATCTACGACGTCGCCTAAATCCCCTGAAAGTGGCAAGCTCTCTGCCTTTCCCAGCACGAGGTCGTCGAAAAAGGCGTCGCCAAAGTCGCCGAAGCAGCCCAAGAAACCAGGTAACATCATGGTCAAGTCCATGTTGGAGGTACCGCAAGGACCGAATCTATTCCCCGAGTCTCCTGGATTTCCGAACATGCTGGCAGCCATGTCATTCCCATCACCACCCGAAAGCATTCGATCACACTCTGCTTCCAACAGCATCTCATCAACGGGCCCTACAACACCCCCATCTCAGGGTCCTCTGTCGAGACATTCCCCTCCTCGATCTAACCTGGACCAACGGCTTATGCAGCCAGAGCGACCGCCCCTGAGACAATGCAAGTCTGAGAGTGCGACACACCCGTTGTACATGTCAACACATCACCTATCTAGCGGTAGAAGCCTGGAGGATGAAGCATCATTCCACCCTCTTCATGCCTCCGGCAGCATGTCGGCTCTGGATGCAAATAGAACACCGTCATCAAAGAAGGACAGAAGATCATCACAAGAGTCCGTGGACCTGACAGATTCTGACCCTCACCGACAATCAACGGTTAGCACAGTAGACTCCTCCTTGCCGTCTGCAGTCATGAGTGACAACCATCGACACTCAATTGGAAGCGTCACCTCGGCCACGAGTGGTATGACTGAAAGGACTGAAATGACGGAGAAGGTTGGTAGAGGGTCAAACAGAGATTCCATTCAATCGTTC